GTTTGTTCGAACTCCTCACCTTCCACAGCAGCACGAAGGGCTATCTTCGACATCTTTCAGCCGATATCACGGATTGGAAATGTCGCTACTGTCGGTCTCATAAAGAGGACCTACCACACTTCTTCTGGTGCCCCTCGAGGAAGATGTGTACACTCAGAAAGAAAATCTGGGGCGCGGATCCACTCCTGCCATCACTACCAGGAGAGAGACCACAACGGGGGCTCACATTGATCCGTGGGGCCTTGACGACGGCACGAGATAGTGGTCTCCACGCACTGAGGAGATTCTTGAGGGCGAGTGCACCGGCTTGGAGCACTACCTCCGAAGCCGCCAAGCATCGGTAACGGACTTGCGGTGCCGTTGTGGCACTGAGCGTCCTCGCAGGACGCAGGAGCAATACGGCCATACTGTGTATACAGGAGATGCCGTGCTCCCAGACCAAACCAAACCAAACTACTACTACTACTACTCCTACTACTACTACTACTACTACTACTACTACTACTACTACTACTACTACTACTACTACTACTCCTACTGCTTGGCTTCCCTCCACGTTTCCTATCATCGATGCCAATAAGCTTCACAGCTTTCCTGCTCAACAACGGTCCCAAATCCTCACGCTTCGGCCCAGCGACTTTAGCCATACCGGCATCTAACGGCACCGGCTTGCTGGCTATCTGACGGTTATACCTGCATACAACATTCTCCACTACAGGGACCTATCTAGTTCCAAGAGATGACATACCCCAGGGCTTGATAAAAATGGGGAAAATTTTTCCTAATGTGAAACTGATTGAAGAATGTGTTCCCGGCCATTTGGAAAATTCAAAATGAGTCCCCCCCCGGAAAATTCTTCTGGAAAATTCTTCACTATACCGCTAGCAGTAACTCACTGTTCTCGTATCTTCGTGAAAGCCACGTCCTCATCACCCAGCCCAGCATAGACCCCCGCACACTTCATCACTCTAGGCACCGCCACTTCAGGTTCGAAGTCTACAACAACATATGCCGCACTACCTCAACTGTCCCCCCTACCCATGAGCCTGTCACCATCCATGGTAGAATAGATAAGATCCTGTCCTGATGCTGACGAAGCGTGGTCCTCGGGCAGCACTGACGACGTTGAGGGCGAACTGGCTGACTTCCTGTCACAATTCACGACTATCTCAGCACACCCCTAATCTCGAGTACTACTTCGACGCGCTACTCTTCCGTTTTTTCCCCTTAGTTTTCCTCGCCTGAGCTTTCTTACTACTACCACCACCACTAGCACCAAATACAGAGTCCAGGAAAGTCTCCACAGCTGCTGAGCGGCCAGACATGAGCAAATCTCAAATCCTGACAGCACCAGTTCATAGCCAGTCGGGCCAACCAAAGACGGCTTGCATAACAAAAAGTGTGATGATGCAGAAATCTATGAACCAACATGAATGAGAACGTCATGACTGAACGCCATTGCCAAGGAAAGGTAAGCGATGATCTCGAATAGGAGTGTCGAGAAACCAACGTAATATACCCCTATACGTAGGTCTCATCAAGTGGTCACGACTATGATGAATGCCCTCGTCCTCCTCATCCGCCTTATCAACAGCAGAAACCATCGTCCCTTCTTGCTCACCAGTGGAGCACTCTGACGTATACTCATCTGAAGACAGTTCCGACTCCGAATACAGCGACACGGAGCTCGGCCAGGTAGACCGCATAGGCTTAGATGACTTCATCGCCGGGGGTATGGGGACACTGAGGTAAAGCCACCGAGCTGCCAAGTCCGCCAACCTTATGAACCCACCTAGATGCGCTCTGTTCTACCGTATGCGTTTCCTCTACTTCGTATGCATATGCGAGCACTCCCACACTAGTTGCTGCTAAGAGAATCAACAACTTTCGGAGGCCCGACCCGACAGTAGTGCGCTGTAGGAGTATATGCAGCGCATGGGAGAGCGTGAACAATGCGAGCTCGCGCCTGACAGCACTTGCCATGGCGTCACCTAAGCCTGCCTACCTCCGTTGTTGTTTCTCCAACCCTACAGGGAGGGCGCCCAGCATGCCCACCACGTATGCGGTGAGGCTCGACTTCAAGGCTTCCGAAGATAACAAGTTCGAACCCGCACAAAAGAGAAAATGAGCTATAGCCATTTGCCTGCAATTAGAATAGTATACAGACCACTAAGGCTACTTGTTATGTTGTTCGTATTTTTAGGGGAATATGCATACGGGGAAGTGCAATTTTTTTCGAAAATCATGTCCGCGGCATATTTGAAAATTACAATATAGTTTCATCCCTTTCACATGAAGTGGCGCCGTCAAACTCGGTGAAATTCGCGGTGATATGCAATAGTCGTGAAATATATTTTTCATCTCACTAGGGTGAAACTCCACGCAAATTCCTATACAAAATTCCAGATTGATACCAACTCGCATCGTCGTCATCGACACTGTCGCAGAGAACCAACCCACCCTGTCATCACGAATGACGATAAGCATGTGTTGGCAATAAGTCTTCTGGCCGCTTTCACCAAATTTCGCTCGCCCTTCACAAAAGCAATGATAGTCGTAGCCAGATACAGCTTCAGGTAAAAGGGCACGTTCAGCTTTGCAAAGGAGGTGGCAGAAAAATGCATCAGACTTTTCAAACCTATCATGAACAGCTAAATCGACTTTCTGTTGAGGGCAGATTGTTACAGCCATCAATTCCTTGTGAGTGATGTAGTTCACATAGGCTCAGATGACCATAGCGAGCTCTTACTTCGGGGGAAAAGTCATCAGGTCCTCCGAGCCTGATCGTAGACAATGGGAGTTTCGCTCGTGGAGTGGCGTAATACTCTGTGTGAAGTAATTGTTATTCGCGATAGGAAGTGAATTGAAAACACCTTGCGAATTGCCCAGGAGAATTCACCCCATTTTATTCACTCCTCACATGCATTTTTCGCCAAGTGAAATTTGTTTTTCATATCACTAGGGTGAAACTTCAATGAACAAAAAGCGTATTGGCGTAGGAATATG